AACCACTACCCCACTCTTCAAGCTCTACCCGTTTAAACTTTTCCGCGCTTAAAATGACATCACGATTAACAACAGCAGTAGCACCACGGCGGGCATTCCTGACAATAGTCCTCACAGGGAAGAGGTTGGGACAGAAAATTGCAGAACCGGGGGTACGGTGTTAAAGACAGTTGGTTGGGGAGGTCGGTCGCGGGCCGGAGAATTCGGTCTATGTGGCGAGAGATGTGTGGCATGGACGAAAGAGAAACGGGCTAGCAAGTGCGTGTTTTGGGAAGATGTGCAGGAGCGCGAAAGGTGGGAATAAAACCGGTGGATGGGTCGTGAGAAAGTCTAAATGAACTATGAAGAAAAGGGGAGGATTGGATCGAGGTTTCCCGGGGGTCGGTACGGTGATTAGCGCGTGGATAGGCAAACATTTGCTGGTGACAGAAACGGCACCGAATCGGCGACATACAAACGGGCCCCCTGCCCGGCGCGCAACAAAACCCCTGCAGTGTTTCGCACTCGTCTTGAGCTTCTAACAACACATTCAAGAGATATTAATAAGTTTGAGAGGACCGAATAGGTTTGGGGTCTGTTGGCCTGTGGCCAATGCAGCTGTTCTGAGCACGGCGCCGATGCGAACATGGGGAGGATTAAACAGCAAATACAGACACACGAGAGTATATGGGCACCACCATTTTGAATATACGGATAGAAATATACACACGCGCGGGAAAAAGATAGAATACGCATAGACGGGGGCAACAATAAGTCCTCAGCCTAATGAAGAAAAGCATATTTATTTTAAACAACGATTATTTATTTTTCAACACAATTTCCTTCAATGTCGATATAAATAATTCTGCGGTGATTATAAGTCCTATAAAACAAATATGATACAGTGAAAAAAAGGCTAAAGTTTGCGTAAGAGGCTATGGACTAATTGATTCAATCAGGGACAACATCACACACACACACACACACACACACACACAAATATATATATATATATATATTGTGTATATTTAGGCAGAAATTTTTCATTAATGCATGTTTCATTAAATAATATAGACAAGTTTTGTGTATTTATTTTAAGTAAGTTCCTTTCGTATTGTCTGATAAGCTGATAAGCTTAATAACATTACCATTGAATGACGAAAGGAAAACACCATATTGATACATGTTTAAATCCAATCTAAGCTTTCGGCTTACATAAGTCATTATCAAAGATGACAATTTCGATAAATCAAACAACACACGGACGAACCAACAATTATAGTCCGCCCTTGCTGCATGAAAATTTCCAAGTAACGAACAAACTCGTATATACGAGACGCGGAAGCGAAAATCGCGTCGTAGCTCGTGACGTCACACATGACCACGTGAGAGTGAAAAACGAGAAGTATTAAGTATGGGAAGCCGTTGGTATTTAAGAATATTTGTGGAGATTTTATAGTTTATTTTGTTTAGGTTACGTTTCAACTGTTTTATGTATAAAGCTTCAAGAATGTTTAAGGAATGTACTTAAAGTAAATAGACAAAACTTGTCTATATTATTTTATGAAACATGCATTAATATATATATATGTGTGTGTGTGTGTGTGTGTGCGCGCATGCGTATGTATGTACCTAAAAGTGGACACTGAGGTCAACACCAAGCATTAGCATCAACGCAATCTCCAGGCCATGAGTCCTGTGTTTTGGTACGACTATTTATATATGCTGCTCAGTGGTGACGATGGGTAGCAAGTTCTATAGTATTATCCTTAATACCCCTCATGCTAATGCACGTGTTCAGGAGGCCGAATATATATATATATATATATATATATATATATATATATATATACGAATAAATATACATTTTTAATCACCAGTAGCACGACTCTGAATTTCATGCACAACGCAATCTTCAGTTATATATATATATATATATATATATATATATATATATATATATATAGAGAGAGAGAGAGAGAGAGAGGGAGACAAAAGATATATGCACACTTCAGGAAAAAAAAAAACTTGTAATTTTACGGAGGACCATGAAGGATGTTGTGTATCGCAGAAATTACATTGATGCTCCTTAGACAAAAAATTGAAAATACATGTGCAGCCATCTTACTGGACGCATTGGTCAAGGATACCCAATCAGCAGTTCACCATACAAATGTTTTCGGTCTATTAACTTCTTTTGTGAAAATCATCTTGCGTTTTTGACAAAAGAAATGTTGTGTGTGAGGTTCATCAGTTTTGCAACACGCTGTTTTATTTTTTTTTAATGATTTTTCCCCAAGTTTACACAATAACGATAGTAAGACGTAAGGTGTTACTGAGAGTGAAGGAACACTTTCCCGCGAAGAAAGGACATTAAAAAGAAAAAGATTCAAGGAGACAAAAATAATGATTGGCGTTAGATTCAATTTTGATCATAGTAGGTGACTCGAAAGCAAGAAGCTGGAAAAGAGTTCCACAGACAAGAAGTGCGAAAGAAGAAACTATTAGAATAGAAACTACGGTTTTATTCAGCCATTTCAACAATAAAATTATGGGCCCTAGTAATCAATTTAGTACTACGTTTTAATTCATGAATTTAAGCTTAGAACTAGATTGATAACTAGATCCCATAATAAGTCAAGTTACCAAACAGGAAAGTGTGTCAGAACCGTTGCCATAAAATATTTATAGACAAGACACAAGGAAGCTACACTAAGGTGGTTAGCAACCAACTGATGCCGAGATTCTAGATCTGATAACGTTACAGATACTTCTGTGAATTTTGCCAAGAGTCACTAAATGCATATCAGAAATATTATATATATATATATATATATATATATATATATATATATATGTATGTATGTATGTATAGTTGTCAGTGAAAATGAATACCCTACCGCCCCTTATTAAAATGATTGGTTTTCACCATATCCATAGAAACGAATATTATGAATGTATATTCTTATAAAAGCTCCGTAAATTTCAAAATTAATTATTACAAAATTCGCTTGAGGATGAAACAGAACTAGGTACTTTAATTTTATTTAATTTCTATAATTGAATTAGAAGTTTTAACTTCTGTTTTTTGAAACATGTCAATTCCTATGTAGGGATGGAATCATATTTTAAGAAAAATAATTATAATATATATATATATATATATATATATATATATATATATATATATATATGATATTATAAATATAAGTAATTATACTCGTCTGGAAAAAACCTAGGTGTTTGGGCTTGTAAATGAACAAACCAATACCCAAGGAAAAATAAGGGATAAAAAAAGAACTAAGAACATGCAACTGGGGCGAAAACAATCGTTCTGTTTTTCCAGAAGCATAAAAGGTGAAGTGAACGAAACAGGATCAGTTTCAATAAGAACTCGGATCCTTTATGTTGCTCGCTGATGACCGTTACACTATCCGCCCTTTCGGGTTACATTTATAAGTTGCTATCGGATTGACTTGCTCTCATTATACCGTCCACGTGAAATGCACACGCAGCTCACTGGTAGTCAAACTTTTTTTTAAGCATTTCACCCAAGCAAGGCAGGAGTGCAACTCGTATGCAAGGGGTTACAGAGAGTGAAAGTAAGAAAAAAAGACTGGATATGGGGGCGGGTAGGAAAGAATAAAAAGGAGAACGGGGATCAAGGCATCAAATATGTCGATTGACGTTACATTTGAATTTTTGAAGATTGTAGTTATCAGGGAAGCAAGTAAGAGGAAGGGAGTTCCACTGTCGGGAAGTGCGAAAGAAGAAGCTGTTGGTGTAGAAGAGGCGGTTACATTTAACTGTTTCAACAGTGAAAGAATGAAAACGAGATACCAGCCTAGTAGCACGCTTAAATTCATGCAGCCGGGACACCAGGAAAAAATAGCTCATCAGAGCAGTTGCCATGAAATAATTTGTAAAAAAAGACAGAAGGAAGCGACATTACATTTGTGGGAAAGTTATATTTTACGGAATATCAACCTGAATGGATCATTAAATGCCGACAAATGTTTTTTGGTTTGGTTTGGTTTGGTTTGTTTTACGGTATATTAACATCAATGTGTTATTTAATGCCGACAAGTTTTTTGTGTTTTTTTTTTTTGTTTTTTTGTTTTTTTATTGCTGGTGGGTTTTTTTTTTCCAAAAATGTATTGCTGGTAATACTTTTTTGTACAAAAATATATTGCTGGTAATATTTTTTTTTTAAAAAAGAAAAGTATTGCTGATGCTAATGTATTGTTGGTAATAATGTTTTTCTTCAAAAATTTATTGACGGTAATAAATTTTACAAAAATGTATTGCTGGTATTAAAACCTATTTTTACACTTTCATAGTGTTTTGATCCCTTTTTGGGAGTTAACTATTTGCTCATAGCTGGGACTCTAACAGGTGGTACCACCCCGGTTCAGAGTGAACCTGGGAACACCAGCAATTAAGAGGTGGTTCAACGCCCCTCAACACCTTCTGATCAGAGGCCTTGCTGTTGGACGTAGTTTATTGTCTTACCAAGGATGGGGACTGTCTTTGATAGGTATGACTGAAAAACCATTCTTCTTTAATATACCATGATCACCGCATTTTCTTATTCTTTTTTGCTTCAATAACTTTTGTTCCTTTACCATCTTTATTTTTCTTTGTCACCATTATTTTACTATACGTTTACTTAACATCGTCAAATACGTGACTTGCTGCCCGCCTTACAAATCAGGAATCAATCATAAGCATTTTTGACATCTACAGGACGCTATATTAAAAGCACGAAATTCGATACAGTTTAATTGTTGGAATTTTTGTGACGGTTATTTGAAACAAAAGCAAAGCATAGCTGAAATATTTTAGTTTTCGAACTAAAGAACTCCTGGCATTTTTCAGTCCCCCAAGTTGGATGTTCTTTCTTAAAGAGAACAATCACCTCGCGTTGAAAATGTGATAACTGCGGCAATCTGGAACAACAAATGGTTAGAAAATGTGTATGTGGGTTTATTTTTTAATTCATAAATATAGTGTAATATACA